TTAAGTTACAAAGAATTTGAATGGTTTCTGGTGGCAACATGATGCCACAGTGATGTCAGGGGGTTGGTGGGAGTGGTTTTCTATTCATTTGCACTGTTGGTTTGGCTATATAAGATCGTTTTTTCTTTAGCTGTATTGTCATTTCAAGCCTGATGAAGGGGACCCTGTGTGGCCCCCGAAACGTTGCTATTTGTTTTGGCATGAAGCGTCAATAAACAGACGTGTTCTTCACTTCAATATGGTGTGCTGGTGACATCTTTAACAAGTTTCAGTATTGGCTGCACCATCCGTGGTCACTTTGAGCACCCACGTTGACAGGGATACCCAGTAAGGAGTGCAGGATTCTGGAATATATATGGATATGCATATCCACACACGTGCATCAACATGCATATGCATGCACAAATATGCATGTTGCTATATAGATATACATCTATCTATATGTAGATAGATGCAACATTAAACACTACCAGTCAGCAAGGACAGCATGTACTGCTGACACTTGTACACATCGATCAACATATGTTGATCACATGCCATTTCTGTGTCGTTGAATACGGACTTCCATGCATTGATATCCGATTTTTCCCTTGTCCCAGTAGTTGCCTCTGAGCAATGTTCTTATACACTTACTGTATATGGAGAACTAATAATCAGCTATTCAGACACCATTATGGATTAAGGCAATTTTTGTTCCCCTCTCTGATGACATCAACTCAGTGTAATTAGTTCAATACTTAGAAAGGATTTCATAATTCATATAATTTTTCAATCCTTTATTTGATGAATTTGCTTCTATACAAACCTTCCTCCAAATGTATTTTCAGCTTGCTGAGCAGTCAGTACACTGGGGGGATCTTCACAATGTGATATGGATATGGTGAAATATATATATAGACTCTTTGATATTTTTGAATGAAGATACTTTTTTGACCAACTCCTGTTGATCGGTCTTCAGTAACGTCTTTCAGCTCGTGCAGGGCTCTCGCACAAATGAGCTTCTCTGCTCTTTTTTGCAATTCTTATGGTTACAGACCGTCATCGAGTTTAAAAACACATTAGATGTGATAACATTTGGATATTCTCACTTATAGCACGGGGTCACTGTGGGGAATCAAAACATATTTGACACTTGTATTTCCCTCACACACAGAACACCAGGATTAACATATATTAGACAGAAACTGCTGACACTTGTAGTGAACAAGTTGCCCATACACAGCTCAGGACTGGTGGACCAATGAGAAGCTGGTGGTGGGCTGTTTTTGGCTCATGGGTTTTGTAGGTGACCTAAATAAAGATATGGGGACTCCACTGCTGCAAAGCAGAAGTGCTAACCACTAAGCTACTGGGAAGCTCCAAGGGTATTATCATCATCAATCTTGGAACAACATAGCATATAGAGTATCACTGGCGGAACTACCAGGGTCGCAGCGGTCGCAATTGTGACCGGCCCTTTTGTTCCGCCTGTTGGGGGGGGACAGCGAGCAAGAGGAGGAAGAAGAGGGCCGACCTCAGCATCTGCTCACAGTATTATCGAGGAAACAGATTTTTTTACAAAGCATTTAGTTGAAATTGTTAATTGTGACCGTTAATAATATGCCATCCATCATTTACTGCCATGGACGGCATATTATTAACGGTCACAATTACAAACAAATACTTTGTAAATAAATTCCGGTTTCCTCGTTAATCCCGTCTGTGCGCAAATGCAGATACTGGGTTGGCGTTCGACAGAACACCGGCACTACATTTTTAAACTGAAGCGGCTGCCTGAGGTCACACGCTTGCTGGGGACCTTGGCAGCCGTCCTGTTAACCACACAGTGCCATGGTGGCGGGGGTCCTTCATGATTTCTTGCACCGGGGCCCTGAAGGTTCTAGTTACGCCTCTGTAGAATATTATCCACTATATAAAATTACTTTTTAAAAGAAAGCAGTTGAAAAAAAAAAAACATTCCAAAATTGGAGAATAATACCATGTCCAATAAGATCATCCAGCATCAATTATTTTTAAAATCCTCAAGCAATTTCTTTATTATTATGTTTATAGTGCAGGAAATGTTTCGTGTGCTTTAGCATAATGCACATCAGGCTTTGCCTTTGATGGACTTACAATTTAAGGTCCCTATCTTGCAGGGCCAATTTGTTTCAATAGATTTTTATTGAGGCAATTTTCAATTATACAAGACAGGAGAAAAGATAAAAAGGAAAATAAATTAAACAACACAGAAGGTCCGAACAGGACCAAATTATAAACCCAATGAACGGGTATTGGTGTATGCACTTTAACATTAGAGTACGTGCCATTTTCTAGTATGAGGTCCTGAGAGGTTCTACACAGATATTATCGGTAAATCTCATGTAGCGCCTTCTTTAGGATTCATGGGGTAGGTGTGTTTTTCTGAGACCACAGATACCAGGTTTGCCATTTCTTTTGAAAGCTCGCTGCGGAGCCATTGCGGTTCGCAATCGCTCGTTCGTATGCGCAGTGTAGTTGTAGTACCTGTAGTGTTTCTGATAGGTTAACTGACTGCGTCCCCTTCCAATGTCTCGCTATTGTGAGTTTGGCTGCTAGGAGGGTGTGGATTATAATAGCCCTGGGGTATTGGTCTATACCAACATGAAGAAGAGCTAAGTTGGGCGTGGGAGCTATAGAGAGGCCAGTCATGGCCAACATTATCTGGAAGATCTGCTTCCAGAAGCTTGTGAGGGACCTGCAGGACCAATAAGTGTGGAGCAGTGTTCCCATCTGTCCACAGCCCCTCCAGCACAGCGCAGAGGAAGATGGGGACATCTTGGCTAGTCGGGAAGGAGTCAGATACCATCGCAACACTGTCTTTTGGGCTAGTTCCCACATGTCCACACATCTAGAGGCCCTCCAGGTTTCCCTGAAGGAGGTCAGCCACTGGGCTTCAGGGATAGGGCCAGCCATGTCCCGTTCCCAAGCCAGGAGGGGAGAGCTTTTCTCTAAGTTTAGTTTATTGTGGAAGAGTAGGTAGAAGAACGAGATGCCCCTTGCAGGGCCAATTTGGACAGGAGCCAATTAACCTTCCAACATGTCTTTTGAGTGTGGGAGGAAACCATGGTACCAGAGGAAACACATGTAAGCATGTAGCACCTTGCACATAGTGTCCTAAGTGGGATCTGAACCAGGGAGTCAGGTGCTGCAAGGCAGAAGCACTAACTCCTGAGCCACTTGGTTGCCCCAAGGGCAGTAGGATCATGAAACGTAGGATAGCCTACAGAGAATAATCCACTATATAAAAGTTACTTTGATAAAAGAAGCATTTGAAAAGCAAATGGCAGAAATGCTACAACAAGCAAGATATTTCCCTTTCCACAATCCTGTATGCTGGTCTTTGGAGTGTGTGAGGAAACTGGAATACCTGGAGCAGGCCCATGCAAGCACAGGGAGAATATGCAAACTCCATGTGGATGGCGTCTGGGCTGGGATTCGAACCAGGGAGTCAGGTGCTGCAGGGCATTATGACCATGACCTACATGGCATTATGATTATGACCTACAGGATATTATCCACTCCTTAAAAGTGACTTTAAAAAGGAAGCAGTTGAAAATCAAATTGCAGACAGTTTACAATAAGCAAGATATTTCCCTTTCCACAATTCCATACAATATTATCTCACATCATGCAGCAAGCTTTCCCGGCTGCAGCGCTGCTATATGCTGAGTTTTGGTAAATGTCCAGAAAGGTTGGGCCATAGTTCTCTTAACTGCAGACAGGGTCTCTAACATGTTTTCTCTGTGGCCTATAAACTGTCATCACACTTCACTGTCCTCTTTTGCTTCATGGCAAAGTTCATATCTTGCCACTATGTTTGTGCACTTGACAATTATGTCTACAAATAGAGGTATCGGACAGCCTGTGACACAGGAGGATTCTATGGGAGACCATCAATACATGCAGTTTTCGAGAGTTTGAAAAGGATAGTCTGTCTTTTTATCATTGTATCTGACAAGAGAATTGACTGTGGCAGTTTATTTTCCTTATGGGCTCCATTTTATGTTCACTGGAATGTAAATGGTTGCCATGAATAAGATAAACTGGCTTAGTCATTTCAATACTTGAGATCCAGCCTGTCAGTTACTCAAACACAGAGGACAAATATGGGGCTCAAAACTGTCAACCTGCCTAGGGTCCTGTTTGTTCAGCCTTGCTGCAGCTGAAAGCACAATTTGAGACAAACAGAAAATAGTAGGGCAGTAGAGAAATTCTGCCCAGCTACCAGAAGTACTAGCAGAAGGAAGAAAACAAATGTGCAGTACTTTATCTGATCAAAAAAAGCCCTCAAGAAATATATGAGACCTTCCAGCACTTTACAAAAACGAAAAACCATATTTTCAGTTTTGGCCTGACTGATCTTAGTCTGGTGGTAGGTGGTAAATTAAGCCATAAATGGTGGCTTGTTAACAACATACAATGTAGATTTGTAGAGCTAAAATAGCATCGTGATACAAAGTTTTTGGTCTCTTTTACAATCATATTGTTTGTAGCACATAATTACACTGACATTTAGAGCCTATAGTTTTCACCCTTACATGTGGATATATTTCCCCTTTTCCATTTTTTTTCCAAAAAAGATATAGAATATTGCCTTTGCAATGGTTACTGTTGTAACTTTTTCTAATTTCAGATATTTACAATTGGCACAGTGATTAACAATAGATTCTTCAATATTCCTGGCACGTGTTCTGTTCTGATCGGTGTATGTTGTTACAATAAGGATTCGTTATAAGAAAGGCAAAGAAGGTGGTGTAAAACCATTTAATATATGAACACAGTTGAAGAAGCAATAGATATTTAATTATCACTCCATTTTAACCTTAATGTAACTTTATTTACTTTTTCTTAATACATTTTAAGGTAAATAAATATGTATGAAAATATTGAATGATTTTACTATGACTTGCTTTTGCAACTGGAAAGTACTGTTTTGTGTACTTTTAGGTCTCTCGCCAATGTTGACAAAAGGTTGTTTCTTTCTTTGATTACATAGAAAAACCATAACAGATAATGGATTAAGCAGATCTAATCAAGAATCTCTGCAATGGAAATAAGCTCTTCTTTTAGAGCACTCTTAGCTTTATGTCCCGTTGTAGCCTCCACATCAGCCAAAACGTCTACATCCCAGCAAAAGGTTAGTAATGCAGATGGAACCTGCAAGTAAAAAAAGTTGAAATGTAAAAGCCTAATCCAATTCACTTATCCAGCTTGAATGGAGGAAGAAAATACACATTTTACACATGGTCATAAATTTCCAGCACTAGCAATATTATTACTCCCACTTATCAGAAAATATATGATTTAATATTATAACTAAATAAATAAAATCTATGCACACCTTAGAGCAGCCTTTCCTATACTTTTTAACCTGCTGAGACCCCTGAAATCCTTTTTCGGTCTGAGGGAAACAATGCTGAAAATTATATCTGCAGCAAAAAGTACTGCAGTGATAAGTAAGTTGCAGAACGTTTTAAAGAAAATAATAAAGAATGTGGTTTACTTAAAGTATTTGACTTCCACTGCAGATTTTTTGCAACATACAACACATTTAGCTTTATTAGTAATCGTGGACTGAAATAAAGAATAATAAGGGACATAAGAGAAACAAAGAATGAAAATTGTAGTGTTTTTCTTTGCAATGCTGTAAGATCTCCCCTCACATTGTTTTTCACCTACACCCACTTCATTGTTTTGGGAAGATGTTAATACAATCTGCCTCTGCTCAAGGACCCCCCATCTACCTCTGAAGGAACCATAGTGTTCCACAGTACCCTGGTTGCTTCAAGTGTATTTCCACTTCTGCAGTCAAATGAAGCAAAAGAGGAAAAAGAGAACGCCCACACTTACATGATTATGTAGTTCTTTTTGTTTAACCTCCTGCCGTCCGCCCATTGAGAAAAAACGGACGGACGGCAGACTCGCATTTGCGGGTTGCCGTCTCCAGATGGCATTTTTTTCCTAATCGTGCGCGCACGGGCAGGAAAAACCCGTCCGTTCTGCAGAGCCGTTACCGGCTGTTTCGCATACAACCGATCAGCGGCTCTAGAGCCGCTGATCGGTTGTATGGTGTGATTTGGTCGCCCGCCCCCCTCGAGTGCCGCCGCCCCCCCTCCTGACCCCTCACCTTCAATCCCGGGATCTGCTAACCCATCTGCAGCCCAGG